AATATTTAGTCAACACTTCTTGAGTAAATAAATGCTGATTTAAAATCACTTGATTTATATTTTAAAAATCTATTCTAATCAATTAATTATTTTTATAGGAATATTTAATAAAAATAAACAACTACTTGTTTTAAAAATATTTTGCGACGAACGTTAAGATAAGGAAAATGGTGTGTTGATTAAATAGGTTGTAAAAACTAATAATATGGGTATTTGGGTTTTAAGACTACAAAAACTAATTAAAAGAAAATAAGGAAGGAAGTAAAGAATGATTTAGATGTGAAACAAGAAAGCTAGATTTAAAAAAATACAAAGCATAAATTAGCTTACAGTTTTTTTATTAGATTAGATTGTGTGAGGTCGTTAAGGCCATGCGGCCTCACCGCACTTCGACCTATACAGATCTTGTTGTGCATACCTTAATCTAGTTAAACTCTAAGCATGCCAATAACTTCTGATGAAGTTGATTAGCTTCCTAGGTGACTTGTTTCCTATGTCAGAGGACGCCAGACTGACCTCTCCTAGGAATTTTAGTCTTTTGCAGAACAGTGCTACGCAGTTGCATAGTATATGTTCTGCCGTTTCTTTTTCATTGTGACAGAAACGACAGTTCTTATTATCTGATTTGCCCATCTTCTTGAGATGGTATCTCAGAGGGCAGTGACCAGTGAGAAGGCCAGTGATCATTTTGATATCTTTCTTACTCATTTCATAAGTAGGCGACACTTTTATGAACCTTTTTGCTTGCCTTTGTCCTGGTATGTTAGATCAATATGATCTTAGTTGATTGAGTTCCCAGGTACGGAGTTCCTCTCTGATGTGGCTTTTCGATAGTCCACAGAAGAGTTCCGGACCCTAAAATAGGGTATTAGCTCCTTCTTTTGCGAGACTGTCAGCTTCCTCATTTCCTGCAATTCCCTTGTGACCTGGCACCCACATCACAGTTACACTTTTCCTGCAATTCCCTTGTGACCTGGCCCTCACATCACAGTTACACTGTTGCGTTCCGCCAGCTTCTTGAGAGATTGTGTTCAGTCCCAAACCAACTTTGACTCACATGTAAATGACTTTAGAGCCTTTAAGGCGGCTTAGCTGTCTGATAAAATAAAGACTTTTGCCCTACGGGTGTCTCGGTTGAGACATTCTTGGCACTGTATGATCTATAGCATGTATTTCTGCCTGGAAGATAGTTGGAGCGTTTCCAAGGGATTTAGATAGCCTGAAATTGGGCCCAGTAACTCCCACTCCTGCCCTTTCATCTATCTTAGATCCATCCGTATACCATACGAGTGAACCTTCTTCCATTTTGGCTCAATTTCTTCACCCATTTGGTGGTTTTTTATGACCACTTCAAAGGGTGTTTCAAAGTCGAATTTGACTGGCATAGCATCTGTCGGCATGTAATTAGAATCCAATGGAATTTCTTCCAAGATTTTCAGGTGGCCAACTAGATCTCCAGGTTTCATTATTTGTGTCTGTCGCAGTTTTAAGGCGGTAGTTACTGCCTCCCTCCTTATGCAGAACTGCAAGTGTTTTTGGTGTTTTTGGCCACCATACGAATGATGCGTATGTGACCATGGGCCTAATTATTGTTTTGTATGACCAGAGAGTCATTTTCGGTTGTAGGCCCCAAGTCTTTCCAAACGTCTTGCGGCAGGTCCAACTTGCCACCAAAGCTCTGGATAAATTTTTTTCAATATGACTATTCCAGGTGAGTTTTTGATCTAGGGTTACCCTCAGATATATAACTTCCTTGGAATAGTCTAATGTGATGCCATTCATAGTTGGAGCCTGTAAATTGTATTTACGTCTCCTTGTGAAAGGTATCAAAGTTTTTTTTATAAATGAAATTTAAATTCAAAATTATCTCATGCCTTAGTTGGGTTTTTATTTGGCACATAATAGTTTAACAGATTTGTAGAGTTTGTACAGATCTTTCGCTAGTACCGTGCCTCCTTGTGGAGTTTGAGCACTTCCGCGGTTGTAGGCCACCGACGTGAATCTTTTTCTCGTTAATTCCCTGAATAATCTTTGAAAAAGTTAGCTTTATTCTCTTCCATTTCCTGCTACGTTGAGTCTTTTCTCGTGATGCCACCAATCTATTTTCTTTTTTTTCCATCACATGTTATGGTATTTTTGGAGATATTTTAATACTGGATACTTTACTATATTTTTCGGATCTACCTCTGCAGACCATCTTCACCCTGTATAGATATCTCTGTATCTAGATTTAGGACTTTGTTGATAATTTCAGTCATATAAAGGATAATCAAAAGGGACATAAGTGATTCTTCTTAATAAATTTTAAGCTTTTTTTTTCTTCTGAAATGTTGAGTAGATTTCAATGATTTATTTTTCACTATGTAGGCTTATTTCTAAAAAATTCCTATACCAATGTTTTTCGCGAAACAATGTAACTATGGTTGCAGAGGTGCAGAAATAAAGTTGTGTTTTTATACGAAAATCTTTCAAACGATAAAGGTCGAGTCTTTGGTTAAGATGAGGCGGAAGATTGATGTACATCCTCGTACATTATTCATTATTCGTTCTCTTCTGGTCTTTACTTCGCGAATTTTAGGGTTTTAAGCATTTGTTGGGTTCTAGATTTTATTTGACAACTTTTCTGCCAAGAGTTTTAATTTTCCGAATTAAGTTGTTATAAATTTTTTTGTTTATTGGTTTTCGATATTGTCTGATACCAGACAACTCCATTTAGTATCGATGATAGTTTCTTACCCTGTACTGTATTTTGAAATAAATTGTGCCGTCATCATCATTCGTAGTAGCTAAGCCTAGATATTAATAGTTTTCTCAAGAATTTTTTATTATCTTACTACAACGCTGCTGCTTAAACTGTATACTTTTTTATTGCATTCTACTCAGTCTTGCATTAAGTATGTTTTGAGATAGATAGATTTTTTTGTGCATATTTTATGTCAACTTATCAAAAGTTTAAAAATAAAAAATTGACAGATTAAATATTTTTCTCAAGTTTAATACTACAAATAAACTTAATTAAACACCAAATACCCATTATCGTGCTACGAATTTACCATTCAATCATTTTAGTTAAAATTAAGGTTAAATATAAATCTATGAGCTCGAATAACTGACAATAAATTGCTTTGAAACCAACTGATAATTTTAAGGAAATATTGTTCAGATCCTAAATGTTTACAAAATAATGGGTCTGTAGAATATTTAACAAACAAGTTTGTGAATATTCACGTAAAATATATGTTATATCTTATGTGTTTTACGAAAGAAATAAAATTATGTATTTAACTATTTTTTATGACTTTTATTTAAAATTATTTTCCACTGTCTATTTCCTGTTTGAAGTCATAGTAGAAAACATAGTTCCGTATCATACTATCCCTATCACATTACCATCCAGTCATAAGAATTCTGTCATTAAGATGTTCAAGAACAGTCCATAAAAAAGTTTGTTCACTTGCAACACCGACTTTCCTTCTGAAAGTAAATTTGGAAACTCCAATAACTACATCCGTACCTAGACTTAATGAAATTTAAGTAGGGTAACTAGAATAAATACACTAAGCAGTAAGATCAGCCTATTGAGTGGTTCCTTCCAGCAGTCATCAACTTAAAATTAAGGCTTTAAACATTCTAGTAGGAAGACTTGGGGATTCAGAATTCCAGACTAAAATGCCACCAGAACCTATCCCATTCAGCACATACAGCATACAGCTAAGGTTAAACAAGAATTTAGAAATCTCAATAAACAAGTCCAGAGCTGCATAGAGTCTCTCAGAAGTTAGAAAAGTTTAAATTGCCAATCAGATATTTAAAACCAGACAAAGCCCACAGATTTGATGAACTGAACACGAATTTTCGAATAAAATGGAACCCAAAGCAAGGAAGTCGGTACGTACTCAAGGTAATTTCATTTTCCATATCAGTACTATCCCAAGACTGTTAAAGAGGCCAAAATAATTATCATTCTTCATTCTTTACCATTTTTAGTGACGGAAGTGGCAAAAAATTAATTTGTTGAAGTTGATGAAGTGTGGCACCGATTGGGGGGAAGTAAGGAGAATTTGTTAAAAACAATTTTAGTTGTTTCAATTATTATAATTTGTAAACGAACAAATATAAATAATTTTTTACCTGCAATTTGCATGAAATTTGTTTCTTTAAAAAAACACAACAAAATGATGTTTGGTGAACCTTGATCCAATAATTAGAACCAAAATATTGCAAAATTAGTGCAAAACATTGCAAAATTACAGTATTTACGAAATTTTTAACTTATTATACGTTTTAACTGCACTTTCAGAAAAATAACTTTATACTAGCTCAAATTAAAGAAAAATCTACCAGTTTTCAAACAAAATTTTAATTATTATCAAAGTATTATTTATAACAAAGGTGTAACAATTATAAACTGGCATTTTTTAATAAAAAAGGCACATAATTTGTTTATAAGTAAGTACTATTTAAATGGGAATAAGCCACAATTAAAGGTTAAAGGACTATTTTATTAATAAACATACTTTAACCATTAATTGTAGCTAATTCCCATTTAAATATTAATTAGTTTAAAATGCAACAAGAAAATAGCTTTAGAACAATTTGTTTATACGGTTTTTAGCTACTAATAAATTGTACAGTTCAAGCTTAGGTTTTCAAAGTTCAAAATGCGTCTAAGTGGCTATCTTATGTCAAGAATATAAATTTAGAAAAGAGTTTCTATGTGTTTTATTGAATTAAGGTTAATTAAACAATATTTTGTAAGTTTTTTTTAAAAACGATTTTTTATCATCAATTCTCGTCACTTTCCGACGTAAAAGCAAGTTTGATATTCTAACTTAGCGGTTCAAAGTACATAGAATACAGTCGGAAACTCCTTGGACTTGATCTTTAAAAGCATAAAAAATGAGCAGAATAATCCTTAATATTTTTTGACGTCATCTTATAAGGATTAACGTGTAGAAGCATAACATAAAAGTAGAAATTAAACAAGAACACATATATTTACAGGAATTTTATTATAGCTTTTTGAATAGAAAGAAATATAAACTAACATGGATCAATATACATAATTGTAACAATATGTAATATTTTAAAAAATTTAAACGAGCCGTATTGCCAAAAAAGAATTGTACACTTTTTTTTTTAAATATTTCTATGAAAAATAGATATAGGTACATTTATAGATTATTCTTATTGTCTATAATGAGATAAACACTATATTTATAATGGATGTAAAGTTACTGTTGTTGATGCCCATCATCTTCAGCTATATACAGTATATTTAGAAATGTTTATTTAACCCTTTTGACTTAACATTGTTGCATTTTTGCTTGCACTCATTTTCAAAGAGACCGGAACAACCTAATATCAAGGTTAGAACACACATCTATAATTATATTATGCACGATGTTTCAACGACACTGTCTACTTTTTTTTACATTCCCACGTTATCAGACCACGTACAACTGTAATTTTTATCATCCCATATTTCTGTTTCTTTACAATACTGACTTTGCATGTCCTTTTTAGTTATTTTTATCGCTTTTAGGTAAAAATCTTTTTCCATTTTTCCATCGAATGCAGACTTTGGATGCCAAGTCCTATCAAGTGTTCCTTTCTAAATCCTCCCTAACCAGTTTAGAACATTTTCACATGAGCAAAACCAGTAATCACGGGTGATAAGACTGGGACCCAAATGAAACTGAATAATGAACTTCCGCAAGGATCGATGTTGTCTACCCACTGATTCTTTATGCTTTATATAGCAACATGCCTGAAACCACATCGAAGAAGGTCGGAATAGAAGACGACTTGGTGCTTGCTAACAGCTATAAAGAATTCTAGACTACAGTAGCAAATATTTACAAACGGCCTGGTTACCCTTGGAAAATATTTACGCTGCTATAAATTATAGCAAAATGCCACCAAGCCGGAACTATCGATCTTTCATTTAAACAACAAACCGCCCAATTACCAATTAAAAATCCACTTCTAAGAAAGACACTAGTACAGCCTCACTAAACACCCAAAATATCTAGGTGTGACGCTCGATGGAATGCTGTGTTATAAAGAATATCTTAGAAAAATGACTGCAAAATTTAAAATACTGCAAAATTTATGTGGTACCAAATTGGATCTTCTAGCGATTACACTTGGCGATTGGGAATACTGTGAACCGGTGTGGCTCAACAGCCTGCACACCAAACGTGTCTATGTCCAACTAAACCAAGTTTTGTGTAATATATATCAGGTACAATCATGGCCATGCCAATATTCTGGCTAACAGCACTGGGCGACATGACCCTCTATATGCCTGCCGAGAAGATGCCACTGTCTGGATGTCTAAAACAATTTACGCTGATCCTGTGCTCCACTTTCACGTTAGTATTACCGGAAGAGACATAAGTAGACTTTTCTTAAGAAACAAGCCTTTAGACTTTAGATTAAAAGAGTTTTAATTGAAAGGAAACTTCAAGATCAACCAACTCAAAAGTCAACCGACCGTTATTGGTAAAATCAATATAAGAAAAACGGATTCCCTACCACCTAGAATATATTATGTTTTACAAGCAATTCGGATAGTTTCGACCAACCAAGATGAATTTGGGCCACACTAAACAGAAAAAAACATATTGTGGCAAGTATTCCGCGTCAATCCAATCCTTTAAACTTCTAGTGGAGGAATGCTACTGTGGTAATCCGTGCGATTACTTAGATGCGATTAAATAATCAATTAGATATTGTACTGCAAATAATGACGCGCACCAACAGTTGTGTGTAATAAGCTGGAAGCACATTATGGCGGAACGAAAGTGAATAGACAACAGCAATTTTGAAAAATTATATAATATTAACTAATTTTAGAGCTTGCACGTAACTGCGGATCAGAACAACGCGAAATCTATTAAAACACAACGGAATTGCGTGAATATTCAACTGAACTGATATTCTGCCTGATTTGGCAGAAGAGGACCGGGACGCCGTCGTATCTCGTGGTTGAAAAATCTTCGACGATGGTTTGGGATGACCTCAGCGGAGCTGTTTCGCAGAGCAGTCAACAAAACCATGAAAGCCTTGATGATCGCCAACATCTGGACCGGATAAGGCACTGAAGAAGAAGAAGAATCAACTGAACGGATTTTACGTTGTTCCGCAGCCACCTCTACAGTTCAGTGGAATATTCATCAGGACGTGCAATTAACAAAGTAGGTGTAAGTTATTTTGTGTATGATTTAACGTCACATTATATATAATTTTGTGTTTGTTAGCAGTAAACACCTACTTCTCTTTATACCAGACGTCATAATGAATCTACTCTTAATAATAACTTATCTTCAAATAAAATTTCCTGTGGACTTCCATAATTATGTGCGGAGATTCATTGTGTTCATTCCATTATGCGTCACGATAATGTGCGGTCTGTTATATTATATTGTACTCAAATTTTTACTGACTAATATCTAATACAGGCTAAAGCATGTGGACTGGAACAATTTTTAGAATAATATTAGATTTATCTTAATATTAACTGTAGTTATAATATTATTAACTGTAGTTACTTTCAGGGTACTAGGGGCAGTGGCTACATTTCTACTCCTAAAATTAAATGTAAAATAATAATATAATAATATAAAGTATCCATCGCGTAATACATAAGGTAAACAAAAGTATAATAAATAACATATTGTTGTTTTTTGTTAGCTTATATATAGTGGCTGTGAATCATTAATCACAAATACAATTGGTAATTATATAGATATATACAAAAAATTTATACAACAATTTTAATATACATTAAATCAAATAAAGAAATGGTTCTATATTATTGATTAGTCTAAAATTTAGCGACCTTATAGGGCAGATTTATAAAATGCTTTGTAAGTATATTGATTTGGTACCTAATAAATATCAACAATGACCAAAACAAGCATGGACAACTATTGGAAATCCTATCATATCCTAGAAATATGGGTGATACCTAGATTTATTCTTCTTCTACTCCCTCAAGTGCCCTGTCCATTGCCAACGTTGGCTATTAAAATGGCAGATTTATTCTTATATATTTTTAACCCTCCATAAGTGGTGTGACTAAGAATGACATATTTAGTAGCGTGGGGGACAAAAGTGTCATCCATTTTTTATTTGCCAGTTTTTTTTTTAACTTTTAGTTTATTTTGTATGAAAATATATAATGAATACAATGTTTTTATCAAGATAAAATCAAGTTAACGATAATACATTCACATAACCTCATTTTCATGACAGTCTATACAGATTTCTTTCAAATGGTTACCACATTTACCACATTTAGAACAGAATGTTTTGGTGGTTTTAGCCCAAATTCTTCCATATACACAACATCTTCCTCGGAAGCCGGTTCTTACTTGAAATGTTTGTATTTTGAGACCTTTGTTTTAGTTGAGGTTTGATCAACTTCCAACTTAAGTTTTGTTATAATCGAACAGGTGATAATATCTTCTCGTTCATATGATGATAAAATTTGTAAATGCAAAGAGCATTTATTGGGTAAAGAACCGTAGAACCGTACCATCGACCAACGCCTAGTGTTGCGCGCAACATTATTGTGTTAACAAAGTTGGTCAACTAGGTGGACCCCTATTTTGGTCATATTATAAAAAGTTACGACCTCAGGTTTATTTTCATCTCCAGTAAACTTAACAGTGTGAAGAAATGTGGCTAAAACTAGTACAGCATTGTTCTTTTTTTACCAATAGGACACTAAAGCGCAGCATTTAAGAAAGGCGAATACGGAGGAGTTGTCCATCAATGGTATTTACCGTTTATTTTTCTCATCGTATCTACGTTAGTTAGTGTTTTTTCTGTAAAAAGCCTTTTCGCCAAATGAATACTAGTTAACCAGTTATCGCCTGCAATATTTCGATTAGATCCAGATAGTTGCTCAACTACACGCAACACAACTTCTTCTCCCGAGTTGCTTACTTGCTAAGGACCTTCTGGCTGCCTATTTGCATAGGCTTTCAAATTCAACGTGTAAGCTGTCTTAGTGTCAGTTAAAGCAAATACTTTCAGGCCGTATTTAGCCAGCTTACTCGGTATGAACTGCTTGAAGCTGTATCTACCTCTAAATGCTAGAAGTTGTTAGTCGACTGTGTGGTACTCACTTGGTGAAAAGTAAGCTTAAACAGTTTTTAAGTAATTTAATCTCTTATTGTGTTATCAATGATTTTTTGCTTCTCTCTATCAATAACACTGTCAAACCGTAAGCATAGTATCAAGAAGTGAAATCTGGATTCACTTTTGGATAAGTAGCAAGATTCCAAACCATTTCCCTTTAAGTTATTTCAGAAACTGTGTAAGTTTATCTTGGATGATCAGAAAGAACATATGAGGAACAATATATTTGTAAATGCTTAAATTTCTGTTGAATCTGTGTCTTGTGCATTTCGATCTCCTTGAAAACTGTTATATTATATTATATCTATAAAAATATTAGTGTAATGAACTATCGTGTTTATCATTATATCAGCGAAAAAGAGACTCCAGATGTTTCCGTCTTTTTTTCTCAAGCAATACGTTTTGGTCCTGGCAAATGGCATTTTATTATGTTATGTGAACGAGTTCGTACGTTTTTTACAGGGCTCTTTTTCTTCATTGCCTTCTATCTTTTCCCGTGTAATACTCTTTTGCTCGATTGTCAATTTCTTTACTTTCACTTCTATTAGTATCACTTCTGTCAATTTTATCTGCTTCTTGTTAGAAATCCGTCTTATGTTTACTTTTAGTCATGTGGTTTTCATTTCCAAAATTACTTTCTTCGTCAGTATTAGGTCCATTCTTGTTATCACTTAACTCCTCACACTGCTTGAAAGGTACTAAAGTCTAGGTAGCGCCGACACCTACTGATTTAAATCTGTGAGTAGAAATATTGGATGGGTGATCCGTCAATATCAGGATTTAGGTTAGTTTTGTCCACCAATATTGCCGGTGAAGATTTTACTAAGTTGAGTATTTGATACAATGCACATTGATAAACTTTCGAACACCCATTCGTTAGACCAATTCATAATAAAATTTGCTTAACTTTGACCATACCTCTCCTAGTCGCGGCTGAAAGGTTGGGTATGCCGCGTATCAGCTTCCGATTTTTTTTAATTGTGCTGATTTACCGATAAACAAGAAAACATCACGCACAAGCCATAAATACATAGTCGTGTCCTATTCAGAGATCGTAAACCACAAATATTCAGAAGAAAAACGATATTTCACGTACTTTGCCCATAACGTATTTTGAAGAATGCCACTCCACCTTCTTTCAGAACGCTCCTTTAGGCTGCTTAGCTTTTCTTAAAACTCTGTTTTGGTTTCTAAAGTTTTAACTTATGTTAGGGCATGTACGTAAATAATACTTATCTTTCTGTATTTGCCTCTTACTTTTAAGTAACATATTTGATCTGATATTGCTTAAACATCTACAACTGCTTTGTTTACTTTTTCTCCAAATATCTCATAATCCTCCAACCCTGAATAGGGTGCAATTTCCCAATTTTATTTGGTAAATATTAAAATGATAATTTTAAAATGATAATCATAGATAAGAATAATTTTAAAGAAACCCACCTCTGCAATTTGAAACTTTTACTAAACTCGTGCAAAATAGTTGCATTATTGTTGGTACTTATTATATGGCCCTATGAGCAAGATACATTTATATACTGGTAGAATAATGAACCATTTCTTTTTAAAAAGTATTTTACAAACGTTTAGAAACAACAGGATTTGCTGGCACAAAATATTCTTCACTAAATCTGTACACGACGTAATATTTTTTTTAAAAGGGTGTTTTGGGTTTCAACATGTTGTCTCTAGTATGGAACAGTTAGACTGTCTACTTTATTTTTAGGCTATTTGCAACTAAATAGGTACTTTAAATAAAAAATAATGTTTGTTTTATAATATGTAAAGAACGGCCTATAAAGAAGAAGAAGAAGAGACACCCAGAATAAGATTGAGTCATCCATCTCATTAATCAAGGCAAAATGGGGAAAAAGAGGAGTGCTGGTCGCAAAAGAATATCATATCTTCATAATCATTGTGATTTACCTACGTATGCTACGTGGTTGAATCACTTCTTTTCAGAGCTGCAAGGAATAAAATTATAATAGCCAATATAATAACCAATGTTCAGTAATGGACATAGAAAGAGAGCTTAATAAATTATCTTAAAGATCCTGGTATAAAAAGGTTTTGGTAATAAGTACCTATTACTAGTAGTTGACTACCCATACACTACGTCAAAAGAGTATTGGTCAATTTCAATGACAAATTGGGTAAGGAAGACCTTTTAAAATCAGTGATTGGCACCCAGAGTTTACACGATATTACTAACGATAATGGTTCACCATTAGCAGAGTTTACTGTAAGAATATGGTAGTAAAAACTACACAGTTCTAAAAAGACATTCATAAACTTTAAGTAAATATGTAGTTGGTTTATCCTAAAAGTCTAATTTGTTTTAAAATATTTATACCAAATATTCCACCTTTTTTTATTTTCCGATTTGGAACTCGAACCTTTAGTAGAGCTGTTCCCATTTGTATGAGTTTAGTTTTTCCATATCATAGGAAAAACTAAGACGCCCTAGATGAACATTTTTTTCTAGTACCAAAACACCCTACGCATCCAAACATAACAAAACAAAACTTATAAATACATCAGTCCAAAAATTTACTCCAAATCCATTCACTTGGCTATGAACGGGGTGAGATCAGGTAATTTAAATCCTCCGAAACTGTCGAAACCGTCTGTGTTTCGGAATTGTGGTCGACCATTTCTGACGTTCCTGAGCGGGGGTGGATTCAAGCTCTGAGGTAAGTTGGCAGATGCTGATTCCCTGAGTAGAAATCCGCACTGGGCAGTACATACTTCATCTCGTAGGATGTCGTCTTTTGACCACTCACGAAGAAGCTGTCGACAGTCTGTGACTCTCAAGGAAGCGCAGTTGCCCTGGAAAAATATTTAATTAGTTTTCATTAACAAACGATAATTTTTAATATTAAGATTAGATTGTAAGTCCCGCAGCGTGATACGAATAGTCTGTAATGTCAGTGTATGATCGGAGACGACAACGGAGAGTGATGGGAATAGGATTGATCGCACGACGGACAAGTGTGGCCTGCGGTATTCACAAGACACAGTCAATTCGACTGTCATACAGTTGTCTGGCTGTATAATTATGCTGCATGATAGATGTATGCGGGCCCTAACCCATTAGCGCCGAGCGTGATCATAATATCACACATAACAAGACTCTTTTCAATTTTATTTTTTTTTGCAACTCTGTGATAATTTTAACCTCGGCTCACGGCCAATGCGTTGCTTATGCCTTAGTTTAGCCTTAGCCTAGCCTGGTTGGCAGTTTGAAAAAAACAAATACGTACATCCGATTTGTGTAAGTATTGCATTTATATAAAAAACTTTTTAAAATTTGGTTTGTGGTGTAATATGTCATACAAATAAGCTGAACTTTATCTTAAAATTATTTACACGTCGAAATCGTACTTTAGTATTTCATAATTATACATTTATTAGGAATTTGACCATATGAACACGCTAGGCGCGAATGTGGGCAGTGAGTATTTTTTTTCGTCTAGTAATATCAACCTATTTTTATTGTTTTAGTGATATTACTTTGAAAGAAGCATTAGCTATGGTTGAAAACGTTGACTATCAAGATTTAAATGAAATATTTATAAAGCATCTAGATTCAAATGTAGTAACTGACGAGGACTGTGATGATGAGGGACTAGGACTAGTTGATAATTTAAGCGTTAGACAATTACGTGCAGGTGCAAGGGTTTTGATGAATTCATATACCTAAAGGGAGTCAGGATTAGTTAGAATATGATGGGGATGAACAGCAGATAGATGACTCGGTTCATGAAGTAGCTGAAACCACAAAGAAATCTATTAAAAAATCTGCCAAGAAGGCTTATTGAGAGACTGAATTAATAGGAGGTGTTATAGTACCATCCTTATTCGATTTTCCTTCTCTTCTTATACAAAATACAAAGATTTAAATTCACATGACATATTTCCCTTGATAATAGATGACAACGTTTTGTGACTTTTTTCTGAAGAAAGTAATGATTATACTGCTTCAAAAAATTGTTAATATTTCAATGTGATCCGAGAAGAGATTCAAGTTTTCTTCGCCATACGAAGGGATCGTTTTATTGCAATTTCACGATATTTACACCTTGCAGATTATAATTTTCCATTAACGGTGGATAAAATGTGGAAGCTAAAACCTTTATCAAATATATTACAAAAAAAATTTGTGAATAACTGTATGAGCCCGAACAACATTAGTTTTGATGAGTCAACGATAGAATATTTTGGTAAGCACAGTTGCAAGTAGTGCATTTAAAATAAACCGATTAGATTTAAATATGAAGTATGGAATCTAAATACTTCTGATAGCTATCTTATTAATTTTGATGTTTACCAAAGAAAAAACCCTCATAGTTTTAATGTCTATAAAAATAAATTTAGAAAGTGTGTTACGCCCTTGGTACAAAAGCTTGACACTTTTCCAAATCAATTTAAAAGTTTAGCTATGCACATTTATTTCGATAATTTATTTACTGGTATAGTATTGTTACAAGAACTTAGGGATAGAGAATCCCACGGAACGGGAACTATCAGTGAAAATAGGATTCCAAAAACATCTAACATAAAACGCAATAAACTAATGAAAAAGGAAAAACCACGGAGAATATGCTTTTTAATTAAATCGAAAAAATGGAATAATTTTCATAAAATGGATGGACAATTCAGTTGTGGTCGCTGCATCTACTGCATGTGGTGTTCAACCAATTACAATATGTCCAGCGTTATTCTCGAGAACAGAAAAAAAATTTCAGTCATACGTTCATTACTATTTACTTACTCCAACAAGCATATGGGAGGTATCTAGTTAAGGCATATCACAACCAGACAAAATCTGGTTGTGATATGTCTTAACTGGATTTTAGAAGAAGCATCGTTCAGGTTATTTGCAGAAATATGGTGTTGCTTCTAGAGGTGATGGTCGTCCGCGTGTTTTCAAATCTGAACTAGATAACAAAGTTTGCAGATAGATAAGACTTGATAAAAGAAATCATTTCAGGGAGCCTTGTAACAAAAGACGGTGCTGTGGATTGGACTGCAAAATAACTGTTAAAGACAATGTGGAAAGTGTAATGTCGGACTCTGTATCGATTGTTTAGGAACTTTTCACAAAAGGTAATCAATAATAAATTTTTATCAGAAAGAGTATTTTTGTACCTCATATATGCCGAGAGAGTTCATATGAACGGGGTCCTGTAAGAACCCCCTTTCAACAAATAAATAAATTTTTACAAAGTTTATATACATATACATACAGCTTTAAAATAAAAGAGATTTGATAAAAAATACTTTAGGCGCTAATGGGTTAAGAAGGGTGCATGTATTGACATTTAAAAAAGTGGAAATCAACCAGTTGGTTTTTTTTGATTTTGTTAAAGGAAGCTGGATATTCATTTAAAGTTAATGGGAAATACGTAATTTTTAAATTTACTCATGTGTAAAATGCTTTACCTGAATGTTATGCATTTTATGCTATAGTTTATTTTTATGAACGAGAGAGTAATTAGCATAATTTTAACTGGTACCTCCGACCACTCCATGGGCGTGCTCAAGATTAATTGAAAAATTACTTTGAATAATTGTAAAAAATAAATGAATTATTTCAGTGTTATAAAGTGTTATGTGTATGTAAACAAAAGTGACCTCTTTTATCACACACTATATTAGAACGGACTGGCCTACATTAAAAAGGGTTTTAAAAAATTCACATTTTTTTTTAATTTTTAAAAATTACAAAAGAGAAAAAGAGTTTTTAAAACCGTCTAAGGTATGTTAAATAGATGAATAAAAATATTAATATAAAACTTACAGCTACTTGTTACAAATCCAAATCAGATTCAGAAGATGAACTTTCAGAACCAAGATTTATAATAACTGGCTCGATCATTTTATCAGTAATATTGTCCAGCTTCCACATTTTTTCCTCTTCTTTAATAGTGTGATTTACTGCCTTTTCCCAGTTTTCAGGTTTTTCATTATTTACGGCCTCCAAAAACAACTGTTTAATATCATGAATTTTAAAAGTAGTATTTTTTCTTGAAACTTCACTCTTTATCTGTGCCCATACCAGTTCAATCGGGTTTAATTCACAATAATATGGTGGGGATCTAAGTACTGTCATTCCACGATTTTTGGCAATTTCATCAATTTCGTATTTTTTAAATTTTTCTTTATGAAGGGCACACAACGAATAAAGTTCCTTTCTTATAGATCCGGGATGGTACGTAATATTTTTTGAACTCAGCCAATTCTGCAAGTCTTTTTTTAACCACTTGGTTGTGGGCAGTCCTTCTATAAGTCCGAAGTGATAACTTGCATTATCCATTACTATTACACAGTTCTTAGGAAGAAGATCTATCATTTGTTCAAACCATTCTTGAAAGACATCAGCGTTCATGTCTTCATGGTAGTCACCGGTACGAGATGATTCAATAGTTAATAAACCACCTTCAACAAAACCGTCTGAACTGCCAATGTGTACTATTATCAGCCTAAGTCCCTTTCCTGATGGTGGGTTTAAACCAGTAGATAAGTTATTTACAAAACCGTGCCTTTGACTTGTAACAGTTTCATCCTGCCAAAATTTATTTGGTGTATGACCCTCGCTGATCCATGTTTCATCAAGATAAAATATTTTTCTTTTTTGGTTTCTCATTTCCTTTATGGTTCTTAGAAAATGTCTTCTCCATATGACAATATCGATTCTTTCTAATAAAATAGACTTTCTGGGATTCTTTTTCCAGCGGAAGCCTATTTCTTTTAAAAGTTTCCATAACGTACTTCGACTCATTTCTGGGTAATCCTTATCATCTCGAACTGAGACAAGAACTTTATCTAATGTTGGAAATTCTTGTCTAAAGAAGAATTCATGCACTTTCCGTCGAAGTCCTTCTTTAAAATGATATTCTATTTGAAATTTTGGTTTCCCTGGAGCATTACGTGGCATTTGAAAACTATCACATTTCTCTTCTTTAATAACTCTGTAAATCGTAGATTTCCCAACACAAGTGTACTGCTAACTAACTCAACGGTCTCATCAACACTTTCACATAAACGTTTGTCTGTAAATGATTTAAAACAATTAAATAATAATGTTTTTTCATTAACTGTTAAAGGACCAATTTTTCGGCGTTTACACGGCACTTCCAAATTTTCCATAACACTAGTATACACAATAAACTGCACCTTGCAACTGAAGTACCTACCTTTAGTGAACTGTTAAGAATTTTGAGTACGCCACTTGGACCTTCCTACAAAATGGAAAAACCCACTATCACATTTTCTGTGGAATAAGTTTTTTTTTTTGAACCTATTCTCTATCCTTCCATTGTTGGATATAGGTCTCCCCCAGTTCTCTCCATCTTTCCCTATCTTGAGCTGTTCTCTGCCATGTGGGACCTCCTTATTTCCTGATGTCATCTTTCCACCTCATCTGTGGTCTGCCTCTGGATCTCTTTGCATTGTATGGACGCCACTTTCCGATGGCATTGTTCCATCGTCCGTCTTGGAGACGTTCATTGTGTCCAGCCCATTTCCATTTCAGTTTTGCTGCTTGTTCTATCGCGTCTACTGTCTTTGTTCTGGTTCTAATCCACTGGTTACGTTTTCTATCCCTAAGTGATAATATAATAGTAGTAGGAATAAGTTTAGAAGGTAATTATCTAGTCAATTACTGTCGTAGATTCCTGGAATTAAAGAATTAAATGTTTGATTGTTGAAACCCTTACTTCGTGGAATGCACTCATTTCAGATAAAATAAAACGTTTTATTTTATCTAAAGAATTAAACTTTATTTTGCAAATAGGTAGGTACTTATTAAACTTTTATTGGTTATATATAACCAATAAAATAAACATCTTACATTTCTTGCAAATTCATTAGTACCTGTTAACCTCCATCACTCCGACACTGGCAACCTTATTTAGAGATTAGTAACCCTCACAACTATTGTATTCTATTCTGCTCCAACCTTTATACCTGGTGGTCATACTCAATTTAAAATTGTTTTCCTATATACTTCTGTAAACTTGTTGACAAATATCTGTTTTTTCATTGAGTCACCCGTATCAACAGTTTAGGGATTTGCATACATAATTTATGGTTTTATTACTCTCTCATACATAAAAATACACTTATAGTGGTGAACGCAATGTTTGCTATTACTTTACAAAAACTTCTTTATTCACTGTAATATCTGAATAACAAGATATCAGTATCTACTTGATTATTCGAAGGTATATAATGTTACTAAAACAAAAATAAACAATGCTTATTCGAAATGAAGAATAGATATCTCCAGTATTAAATTAATTTTAGTTTTGACCGTCTGGAGATTTAGTTTCCCATCTTTAGGAATAAACATAAACTATACAAGTTTAGCAAAATCTTCTAGGTACCACTGATGGCACTGTTCGATTATGTCATAAACGTATGTATAATATTAAATATCATTTAATATAATACTGTTAACAGAGAACGTGTTCTCTGCTGTTAATATCAAAGAATTACCTCTATGAATTATGGTAGTAGTCAAACAGACGCCATCTACAAGAATGTATGCAAACTGTATAAGTTAGAGTTAGCCGATGTCGACATTACCGCTACTGTTAAGTGTATACCGCATCTATGAGATGTCACTACTAGTTCATTCAAAGCAATTTATCATTACCGTTTCAAATATCCTATTTGTTAGTTCTATAGTTAAGTTAAAAATTTTAAAAATCATTACAGTACCAATGAACATATTTGAATATTTTTGTTGTCTTTTTGAAAAACGTTTTAAAAAATCATTTTTATATCAGTCAAAAATAAAGGAGACAAAAACGCTATCTAAGTAAGTAAACTTACCCCTTCAGATGTACATATACAGCTTGTGCAAGGACTAGGGAATGCCGATTGTCCAACACTGACCTGCTTATCTCCAATTATACATCCTTGTCCTCTTGCTGTTTCCTTCCAAGCATTTATGTTTATGGCTGGATGTGCATTGCAAGGAACTCTCGGGTTTAGGAAGTTAGATGGTAGGTCGAAGGCTGCTCTTTGCATTTCGCCTTGAATGTCCATGTTATCGCAGAGAATTTTCGCTAAAGTTATTTTTCTTATTTCTGCTAATTGGGCCTCTGTGAAACGAACTGCTGGATCTTCGTTTTCATACCTAAAAAAAAATTACGTTTAAATAAATATTAGGTACAATAAATACAGAAAAGTGTAAATTAAGTAAAAAACATTTTAATTTCTTACCAAAATCTGTCGCATTTTCTTAACTGTCTGAATTGGAGAGCAATAATACATCCAAAAGTGGGTCCAATTAAACCACCTTGCAAAGGTCTTTCACTCATACCACCAGGAAACAAATCTATATCATCAACAGTAGGGTAGATCCTCTTAAGCCTTGAAATGACCTCTGGTGGAATTTCCCTGGCCAGATCTTCAAAACTTGTTGCTCTTTTCAGGTTACATAGTGCCCTGTAGTTGTTGTATGAAGGAATTCCGTGATCTCTTGCTCTTTGGATGTTGAGTGCGATAAGATCGACTCCAGAGAATGGAGTTTTTTCTGTCTTCAAATAAGTGGTTGGTTACTTCTCCGGTTATAAATTGATCCAACGTCTCCATTGGTGTAGATACTAAGCCTCTGGTAATTTCGTCAACCATGCCTTCTCTCATCATAATGTCTACTTTGAAGAAACCGTCACGAAGGAGAATTGGTGGATTGATGATTTGATAGGTAGGACTCATTCTAAAAAAAACATAATGACTTGTTTATATTATATGTTGAAACTATCCAAGTGAAATAGTTTTGTCTATCATTCTAACAATGTTTACCTATATGAACATTTATAAAATATATCTTTACCTTGGAATGTGTGGTCTCAATAGAGAATGTCCTATTCTAAATGCAGCTGCAGCAAATTCATTGACAATTGAAGGATTACAAGCAGGATTGTATTCTTTGTAATAACCATGTGGCAAGAGTTTCAATCCATACAAGTTCATAGCGTTCCAACCCAATATTCTTGGCAAGAATTCATTGTATGCTACTTGCTGGTTTTCAGCTATAACGATTCTTCGTGCATGTTCAAAGACCTTGTCTTCATCCCAGTGTGGGTTTATTTGTCTTAAAAGATCTGATAATCGGTTGTGTTCTCTCATAAAGACTGTGTGTATGGCTGTCAGTGCTGGTTGTTCTGAAGCTCGTCCATCACCTTAGAAACAAAAAAGCTCAATAACCATTATAGACATAAATTGTGACATTAACACTTTAAAAATACAATAAAACTTTGTAAATAATAGAAAAAACTACAAATAAAATATATATCTATTCCTTTATTAAATGCTTTACAGAAAAAGGGACCTTTTTCAAAAAATAAATCAAATATCTTACCTGCTATGAAGCATTGTCCAGAAGGAGACTTGCATTCCGGATGCTTATCGCTTTGAGGCAGCAATTCTTTTCCTCTTACTGGATGAGTAGTGGCATTCATTTTTCCAAATTGCCCTTTAAGATCTCTTAAAACACAATGGTTTTCTCCATATACCTGAGATGCGTCCAAAAATGCTGTATTTTGATTCACCTGTTCTCTGGGTCCTAACTTTTGTTGACCTGGTAATGATCTCATAGATGGTATACACATTCTTTCTCCAGAAGTGATGTTAATCTCGGGATAGTAGTGATCTCCAGATGGGATTGGGAATGGATTACACTCGGGATGGACTGTTCTTTTACTGTCACACGATCTGCAATCTGGTATAGATTCGTGGAAGCCTTTGTGGATGGGAGTCATAGTAAGATCGTGGTCCAAGAATTGTGCGAATTGCATAGTCATTAATGTGTATCTGCCGTGAAGGTTACTTATATCAGGATGGATAACTCTTGACACGACTCTGGGATTTGGTAAGCCGACTCCTGTGACACCGATAGTCCTTGGTTTTGAAATACCTGAAAATCAGTTTGATTTTAATTTTACTTCTGTTCCTATTGGTAGGGAGTTAAATTAATATACTCACTATGGTGTATCAATATACTAACCCCCTTGGGCCCAATGAGTCAAATATTTATTTCAGTTCGGACAATATTCTTTGCAGTTGTAGATGCAAATTACAAATAAAAAAGAATTTTATTATAATAAAGATAGAAATTTGGATTATTTGTTAATGATTAGGTACCAACAGAACTTATATTAATATGTTATCACATTGAGCCCTCTAATTTCGAATAATTTGAGTTAAAACTAAAGTATTTATGAACCGCCACTCTTCTGATAAAGAACAGGCAGGCTGCTTTAGGGAAGGATATGGCATAAATGGCCATTTGCATACTATAAAGATCGTAATAGAAAAGTGCATCGAGTACAACATACCACTGGTTCTTGCATTTGTCGATTACGAGAAGGCTTTTGATTCTATAGAGTTAAATAGTACTGGAAGCCCTAAATCAAAGCGAATAGATTACAGGTACACGAAATTAATCAAAAATATGTACGAGAACGCTACACTACTACACAAAGACACAGAAAAATTCAGCTTGGGTCGAGGAGTTAGACAAGGAGACAATATTTCACCAAAATTGTTCACGGTAGCTCTAGAGTCAATATTTAAAAACACTCAATGGCAAGATATGGGCATCAACATAGACGGAGACAGATTAAATCATCCAAGATTTGCAGATGGTGTTGTATTAATCGCAAATAACTTACAGGATACAGTTTCTATGATATATTATCTTAAAAGTCTGTCTGAAAGAGCAGGATTAAAGATAAACTTTGAAAAAACTAAACTTATGACAAATCTCGTAATAAGTGGAAATACAACATAATACCATACAACAAACAGGTACTTACAAATATCTGGACACGAGATCAAAATAAGCAGAGACAATCAAACACATGAAGTACAGAGGCGAATAGGCCTGACATGGGCAGCATTTGGCAAATTAAGCCATATTCTAAAAGTTTGTGTCTCAAGCCAAACGTTTATAACCAATGTGTTTTGCCTATATAAACTTATAGAGCAAAGACTTTAACACTCACGCAAAAATCTGAGAATAAACTCAGAGTTACACAACGAGCCATGGAACGTGCAATGCTGAATGTGAGCCTTCGAGACCACATAACAAACCAACAAATCAGGCAAAGATCAGGAGTTCAAGAATTGAACATTAGGAATGGAGGAATGGATTGAAGAATTAAATATTATGGAATGGAGGCCCAAAAACTATAAAAGAAGCCTAGGGCGACCACCAACTAGATGGACCGATGATATAAAACGTGTAGCAGGAAACTATCTACAAGCGGCCCAGTGTAGAGAACACTGAAAAGAACTAACTTAGAAAGGCCTATGTCCAGCAGTGGACGCGATTGGCTGATTGATGATGATGATGATGATGACTCTTATGACAATTTTCATAGTAATTATATAATCTGCACTGTAAACTTTAGTGCTTCGATTTAAATTTGATTTGACTTAATGGTAACAATTAACTCAACATAATGAGAAGCTTTTTACCTACCATCATCGTACACACTAGGAAGTAGCCTGTTAAAAGTAGTTAAACTCTTTCCCCATCCTGGATTTCTAAGATTATTACAATGCCCAGTGTAGGTTCTAAACGGTGACGTTGGATCACAAGGACCATTATCATCACATTGTAAATCTACATCAAATGTCTGTGGAGGAATCAAAGCCCCAAGATCAACTTGCTGCAAGGCGTCACTCAGTTCGTCTCTGAAGATATCGGCTACAGCATTGTTATCAAACAATTGTCTTCTCCTTCTTCTGTGGATCAAGGAGTTAACTATCTCATTGGAAGCAAATTCGAACAGCAGTGAGGTGTTTGCTAGTTTAAGAGCACCTTTATTGGCTTTACTGAAAGCGGCTGCCACTCCTTGGGGTGATTTAGGGTTTATTCCTCCAACTAAAACAAAACAATAATATTATTAAATAATTAAATAATATTATTTATCTTTGCATGTTTATTTTTGACATATCTAACTGTAGTTAGAATTAACTATTAGGGTGGAACCAAAAATTCAAAGTCAATATTTTTTATGGGGCTAGTGCAAAAAAGTTGCGTTTTGATGTATAATAGAACTGTAAGAAATCTTTTTTGTATTAGACCCTATCTTCAGGTTCCATATTAAATATAAATTTTTGGGAATAACAAAAAAAAATTTTAAAATTTATGTTTTTATCAGTTCTTTGAATCTAAATAATTGTTTTATGATAAAATATACATTTTATGATTGGTAGTCTGATTTTGTGTTAAGAAACAGCATAATATCTCCAGACTGCAACCTTGAACGAATAAAATGATCCCTTGGTTCTGGTCCACAAACAGCAGCTGATGTTTTTTTCCCCGAATCGGGTATAACAGGGGCAGTTTGAGACTTATATGTTGTTGTGATTCCCAGAATCAATCATATCCCTTACATCAAAATAAAAAATTAAGTCAATACAATCTGCAGCACTAAAATTTAATGTTGGTATTTTGAATCTCCGGACTTTTTTCTTTTTGACTTTGCCTAGCTTTCAGCACTCAGTGTAGTCCTAGCTCCAGTATATGTTTTCGTTTATCTTTCATCATACCGAGTTATAAATTTTAGCGATGGGCAAAATAAGCTTTTCTTTGGATAACGACATCGACAATTTTTCTTTGGCCAACTGGTAAAAATCATGAATATCGGATCATTCGCCATAAATGTTTTAAACCATAAAAACAGCTAGGATACAGTTTTGTATAAAACCAAACTGGTGCATATACTTCTTGGATAAAACTTACTTAATTAAGGACTGAGACATACAATCGAAGCAACCGATTAGCAGCTATCAGCCACCTTGCGTGTGATATTTTTCCAGATTTTTTAGGCTCAAATCATTAGGACATTTTCCCTCAGCAACTGCTTGACTGATTTGGTACACGTACTTCTGATCGGTACTAAGGTCTGTTGTTTCTAATAATATTGGTAGGTTGTATTCTATTGCGACGAAATCGACGACAGACTTCTCTTTACAGCGTTCCAGAAGTCTCCCTATTGGCCCTGAAAAACCAAGTGGTCCACTTGTGCGTCCATCTAACTGTTGAATTAAATGACGTAGATGTAGTTCATTGCAATAATATAAGCATTATAGCCATCGAAGTGAAGTGCCGCAGTATTATTCCAGTTTTTCTTATAACGCCTACTTGAGGACTGGTGTTCCCTACCGTACCATCGCATCCAACTGCGCTTAATTTCGATATATCAATATTATTTTATAGGATAAATTTCTGTATGCTATTTGCGATGTTTGGAGCCGATCCTGATGAAGAAGACACGTGGTGACCTACATATCGAGAGTCTGGTTCTTTAATAATTGTTATATATTCTTCTGTAACCATTCTTCGCTAAAACGTATTGCCCTTTTTATTGCAAACTAGTCTTATCTTTATGTCCATCAAAAAATATACTTATTATTGACAGTCCTTACTTCTGCTTCTAGAGATGTCTAAGATGCATGCTGCCCCCTTATTTTGATCCTATGAATTACTTTCGATGTATCAGTCACAGATATAACTCTCATATCTCTTAAGACCGCTGATGCTATAATTGCAGCAGAATGATCGGAGACTCCGGTTTTTGTGACGTAGATGGTTGGACTATAACTGTGGCCAAGGGGAAAGAATTCTTCTTCATGATCATCTGCATCAGAAGAATTTGAGTCAGACAAGCTGCTACTTATGGAATGATTAGTGGAATCAACGGTACATGCTTTAAGAACAATTCTCAATTAGTATTATATTTTTGAGAAATTGCCTTGGTTGAAAGGTTAAACTTGAAATGGTTCTTTTAATTTTGTTCCTTATTGCATCAGATGCTGCAATATCTACTAAATTAATTGCCATTTTTATACAGACTCGTTGTTCTTGAAAAGTTCGCTTATTTTGTGGTATTTTCTTGATTGTACCACAAGCACACACACACTCACACACACACATAAAGTTACAGTCATGTTGCACTTGCAAGCCGCGATATCAAATCCACTCTCTTTTCACACTCCTTTCGAAACTGGCAAATCTTTTCGTTGTATAAATCAGATGTTTTTGTGTATCGCTTAAGATTTTAATACTCTGTATGAATATTTTTAATCATATCTTGAATGCGTTTATGCGACAATGTTAGAATAGAAGCTTTTATCCATATTTGTTCCACTTTCGTTGCAACGTCATTCGAGATGTCGGATCTTTATTATTATTTGTCAATGAAAACACCATCATTGAAAACACCAATAATTGTACCTACTATTTCACAGTTTAAACTACTTCGCGTTGCCATTTCAAAGAATATGTTTAAAAACGACACGTCTGTGCGAGATAAGAAACACAACAGTACTGTTACCTGTTGTGTTAATGTGCCTGTGTAAATGGTTGCAAGATTGATGTAACATCTGCATTTCTCCTTCCTTTTTTGCTTAATTCAAAAATAGTTGAAGACTTGACGTTGACCTTTGAATCATTTGGTATACTAGGGTCATTTGGAAGAGGTATTTCCTACCATATCAAGCTTTAATTATATTACGGAACCTGCAAACATTGTTTAATTTTAAAATATAGGATACTTTTCAATTCTAAAGACGACTTTCGATCACAGCCATATCAATTTTTGCGACAAAAATATATTTTTTGTGTTTTTCATTTTTCAAATCCTATATGAAACCTTAAGATTTCTTTATATTTTAAAATGCTTTCGCATAGATTGTTTTCATCACCTGACACAACTTTTAAACGATAGCCATAAGAATTTTTATTTTTTTTTATTTTGTTGACCTCTTTTGTTCCACCCTATTAACTATGCGATACATATCGAAGAGAATCAACCATCATTAGAATATACATTATGATATAGATGTAATCATTTACAGAGAAGCTAAGGTAAATACGTCCCACAATTACTCTAAAATTACTTGTAGATCAAAGTTGTAGCACCAAATTGTTTTTCAGTGCCTTTTTGTCTTCTTATTTTGACTATATAAAAAACTATATAAGTTACCTTCGCTCCACACTTTGTATTCCATTTTTCTTCGATCCATTAAGTCCTTTTCTGCCTTTTCTAGAGCGTCCATTAACAGATCTTCCGAGAAATCAGACATATGATCCATTTCAACCCATTCAGACAATTGTGGTAAGGGATGTTGATCGCAAGATATCCTGGCGTTCAAATAGGGATCTTCTTGGACAAAGGCCTTGGGTTGAATTCTTTCTAAATCATCGGTATTGGCACAAAGAAGACTGGCTACCGTTATCTTCTTGATTTCTTTTAGTTGGCTATCTGTAAGGGAACTTGGTGGTAGATCGTTTTCGTACCAGAATCTGTCAGATTCTTTAAGAAGCTGAAACTGTTTTTTCAGAAGGCAGTTGAAAGTGGAACCCACTACAGTACCTAAAACAAAAAGTTTAGATTGTTCATTGTAATTATTATGTATAATATTAGAAAAGAATAGCAAGTAGGACATTTACAAAAAAATTTAAAAAACAGCGTAAAAATTATCGAAGCATAAACTTAGAAGAAAAATTTAAAACTGAAGAGTTATTATACTTAAAAAATTACTATGATATGTGGGTAATTAGATGTGGAAGAAAATAGAACAGTGAACTTTATTTGGTGTTAAGAAAAGTGCTACCAATACGTAGCCTAATTAAAAGGAATATGGTCTGAACAGAAACATTAAGCATGATGGTTATGGATGACGAAAAATGCGAGAGGAACATATTCGACAAAACTAATAAAAAAAATACGAAAAAATTTAGAAATGCAAAGTATAAACAACTGTAGATATTGGTGGAAAGCAAAACTGGTGACAAAATGTCTTTAAAGTATAAAAACCAGAGAACATTAATTTTAACAACGAAGAAGAAAGATCAAACACAATCAAAAGATTTAAATTGAATAATATCGATTAGACTATACAAACATACAAAAAGGTAATACCTGGAATAGCTTTTTCCAATAATCCTCCCACCATCAAGTCGATATCTTCCGGGCTTCTATACATATATTTTAACGCTTTAATGTACTCATCCTTTATTCCAAACTCCTTGAGACTATCGAAGGTTGGCGTCTTCTTGCTGGTTGAGTTAGTACAGTACTGTAAATATTTAGGGTACGACGGAATACCATGATCTCTGCCCATGTGGATGAATAATGAAGCTGTATCCCACTCTCTGCGAATCGGAACCATGATGTGGACGCTGGGTGCTTGAGCAGGTGTTTGGATGAGGAGGTCGATCATTTCAGCGAAGGTTTCGACGGTTTCGTTCATCTATAAGAAGGTTTAATAATAAAATAAATATATATATATATAATATATATATATATATATATATATATATTTAATAATAAAAAATAAGTAAATATTTCTTATATTTCGATTACAGTTTGGTTCTCATGTTATGTAGATAGTTTCTACAAACTGGGGAAACAAAAATAAATATATTTGGCTCGACCAATTATAAGGGCTTAGCATGTAAGTAATATGGTTTTATACCTATACTCCGGTCAATATAAATATTTAAAATACCAAAAATTCCCGAAGGGCCAAATATTTTTTACCATTACGAACAAAGTTTTAAAAATTCTAATTAATTGTAGGGGAGAGGGGGGTTAGTGTGGACATAGTTAATTATTTAAAAACTCGCATTTAAATCTGCCGCCCAGTCTGTTCAGGAAGTGACTATTAACGCCACCGAACACCACGTAAAAGTTGGTTGAAATATTTTCTATAATATGGCCGCCAGTGACAGAAAGTGATTTTGTGTGTTGTATCCATTTATTTCACAAGGTAAGTAAAATTATACTAAAATTGAAGTTATTGAACTAATTGTATACCTAAGTTAGTGTATGGCTTCTGGAATATTTAATTACTACATTTGATATGGAATGAGATAAAATTATCATTTTTCGAAACGTCATTCCATTGTTACTGTCAAACATGGCGTTCGGGGTTAGTGTGGACAAATCATCAGCTGTCCACACTTAACCCCATAAATGATTATATTTCCAAAAATCATGTGATAAAAATCGCTTTTTTGTTTCAGATGAGGACTTACAGTAGAAAAACGGCGAGAGCTGATATTGATGAAAAAGTTGTAGAGCGTGCAATAAAGGATATCCTAAGAAAAAAAGGAAGCTTGAGAAATATTGCAGAGAAATATGAATTGAAAAAAAGTATGCTTCACAAAAGAGTCATTTCGGCTAAGAGAAACCTTCAAGAAGCTAATATACCCTCTGGTGATGATTCAGGTAACGAAGATGAGTTAGAAATTGTTAGCTTGAATGTTTCTGGCGTCAATAAATTTCGAGGTCGCCAAATATTTTCTGATGAACAAGAACAACACATTGTCAATTATCTTAAGAAGGCGTCTCGATTACATTATGGCTTGACTTACAAGCAGGCTTGTACCCTAGCTTTTGAGTATGGTAGTGCTCTACAAATAGAAATTCTCGAATGGACTAAAAATAAGATAGCAGGAAAGGACTGGATATATTCATTTATGAAACGACATGGTGATTTATCTCTTAGAAAACCTGAAAATACAAGCATAGCACGAGATGCAGCCTTTAACAAATCCAACGTGGATTTATTTTTTGATAATTACATTGGAGTTTTAGATAAATTTAAAGGAAGGCCAGAAAGGATAATAAATTTAGATGAGACAGGTATACCCACGGTCTTACCACCACCCAAACGTATAGCTGAAAAGGGAAAAAAACAAATAGGAGCTGTGGCCTCTCAAGAACGCGGTGAAAATGTTACAATGTGCGGAATTATAACAGCCACTGGACAAGCAATACCTCCAGTTTTCATATTCCCCAGGAAGAATATGAAAGACCGGTTCTTAGATGGTGCACCAATAGGGAGCATTGGTCTGGCTCATCAGTCTGGCTATATGACTGCTGAATTATTTTTAGAAGTACTAAAGCACATAAAAATGCACTTAAGTGCTTCTAAAGAAAACCCTCTACTGATATTAATGGATAATCATTCAAGTCATATAAGTTTGGAAGCTATAAACTTAGCTAGAGAATCTGGAATTACTCTTTTATCGTTTCCGCCACATTGTAGCCACAAACTACAGCCGCTAGATGTTGCAGTATATGGTCCTTATAAAGCTGCATTACGGGTTGCAATGGGAGACTGGCTTCAAAATCATCCAGGCAGACCTATACAAATATATGATGTTGCTCAACTGTGTGGTATTGCTTTTCCTGTGGCATTTACAATAAAGAATATAACATCTGGATTCAGATCTGCTGGTTTATGGCCAATAAATCGTCCTTGTATTCACCGATGAGGATTATGAAGCTGCCGAAACAACAGATAGGAATCAAGAACCACCAACAGCAATGAACCCAAGAAATCCTGAAGATCCTGAGCGAATATTAGAAGTTGCTTCAATCTCCATAAGACTGCTACCTGTAGCTCCCATTACGCTTTCACCATCAGTAGCAACTACATCAACAGCTGTAATTACTCCTGAGAGCTGCCGCCCTTTTCTAAAAGCAGATCGCTCATCAAACTCCAAAGCAAGAAAAAATAAAAAGTCGACTATTTACACGAGCACACCAGTGAAAGATCAGTTGGAAGCTGAAAAAGAGGCTAAAGATTTAAAGGAAAGACGTGCGCAAGAAAGAGCTGAAATGCGAGAAAAGAATAGAGTGAAGTAATCTCTTTCCTATGAACCAAAAAGGAGTAGGAAAGAATCTTCCTCTTCCAATTCTTCTACAGAAGTAATACTTGAATCAGAGGATGAAGGCTGGATGGAAGATGATGGTCAGGACAACGATATTTTTATGGACAAACAAATGGAGAAAAATGATTTCGTACTTGTAAAATTTATGGGTAAAAAATCGGTAACACACTATGTTGGCCAAATCGTAGATATTCGAGATGTGGAGGTACAAATTAATTTTTTAAGGAAAAAAGTGAATAATTTCGTATTTCCCGAAGTTGAAGATGTCTCAGTTGTCGACAAGAACGATATTGTCGGAATTTTGGAGCACCCAGTAGACACTGGCACGAAAAGGCAAGGAAGATTATTTTCATTTAATATTAATTTCAGTTCTTATAATGTATCGTAGTTTCTTTTTGTTAACATAAAGTGTTCAGTATTCCTGTATATGTTTTACTATGCGTCCACTATAACCCCATACTCTGTCCACTTTAACCCCACCACGGGGTCATTGTGGACAAATTATTGATTCTGATTTGAATCAAAATATTTGTTCTATTAAGAAAGATACAAATAAAATATTCACATCGAAAGTTGAGTTGATGTTTACAGTAAATATGTGAGGTAAGTTCAGCAATAAGAATCTTATACATATTTTTTAATTTGCTAATAAGTAAAAATGGTCCACAGTAACCCCCTTCTCCCCTATGTGTGCTACAAAAGCTGTTAGAGGTCAAAGGTAAAAATTTAAAGTTTTGTTGATTTTCCTCGAAAACAGTAGGTTTTATCAAAAAAAAACCTTAAAAAAAAGTTATAGATCTTAATAACGACTTCATTATCCTTTTTTTTTTTCGACCTACCTATCGACACATTTTTTGACATTGACAAGAACTCGGATTTTTATTTACTGTATGTACACACATGTTACCATGTTGTAGCAAAGAACGGTTCAATATAAAATATATAAGTGTAGTCAAGAAGATTAAGCCACCATACTGATACTTTATTTTAGATACCGTTAAAAGTGAAAGGAACTCAATCTTTTACATGTTTATAAGGTATTTTGTATATTGCTGGGGAATAAACACGAAACATAGACCATTAAAAGGTATAGAAATAATTAGTCAATAATGAGGTAGTTTAAAACAATTCCTACTTGGTCTAGTAGAAGATATGGCAGTATGGCAAGATTTTTTAAAAATATATTATACTAACAAAATATATTAAAAACAGCAACTCTAAAAATATGTATTTATGATAATGTTTAATACACATGTATATATAACACAAAAATTAACGAATGACATAACATCAACTGCAAAAAAGATCTGTGATAAAAATAAAAATCCCAGAAAAACGAAACTGAAACAAACAACACTTAATTTAATGGAAGAAAGAAGAAGAACATCGAAAGAATTACCAGAGTATAAAGCTATCAACAATAAAGTTAAAAAGAGCATAAGGTCAGACTTGCGGGCTTATAAAACAAAACAAATATTGCAAACCATCGAAAACAATAGAAACATGAGAGTATTTATATCAAATTTAACTAAAGGAAAATCAAAGATAACTAAAATCAAAAATCAACAGGGGAATACGGTGACCGAAAAAACTCAAATAATCAAGGAAATACAAACGTTCTATAAGAATCTTTATACATCTACTATACAGAACCCCGAAACAGACCACAGAACAATTCTAAACGTCGGCTCGGAAACCCTCCCTAAAATAACCTCTTCTGAAATTAGACATGCCTTACAGCAAATAAAAAACAAAAAAGCTCTGGCGAGGATCTTATAATGTTTGAAATGTTAAAAATGGGCGGCAACATCGTTGTAGAAGTTGTGGAAGTCTTACTGAATAAGTGTTTAACAGAAAAAAGAATACCCAGCCTATGGGAAAACGCCGAAATAATACTTTTACACAAGAAAGGAGACACTACTAATATTGAAAACTACAGACCTATAAGTTTGTTGTCACACTTATACAAATTGTTAACAAGAATAATAACTAACCGCATAACACAAAAACTTTATTTATATCAACCGGTTGAACAGGCGGGATTTAGAAAAGGGTTTGGTGCTAATGATCACTTACAAACCATCAGAACACTAGTAGAAAAAACCACAGAATATAATGTACCTTTACATATGGCATTTATCGACTTTCACAAGGCTTTTGATAGTATTGAGACTTGGTCCTTTTTGTCAGCCCTGAAGGATGCTCGAATAGACTCACGGTACACTACACTCATTAAAAACATTTATGAACAGGCCACATTCCACATCAAAATCAATGAAAACGAAAAAACTGAAAAAATGCGCCTTGATAAAGGTATTAGACAAGGTGATACTATTTCACCAAAGCTTTTTACCTTAGCATTGGAAAATGTATTCAAACAGTTTGACTGGGAGGAAAAAGGTCTAAACATTGATGGTGTACGTTTGAGTCATTTGAGGTTTGACTGACATGATTATTAGACATAGACATGACATAGTATTATTTAGTACAGATATCAAGGAACTGGAGCAAATGTTGAAGGAATTAAACTAGCAGTCAAATAAAATAGGTCTCAAAATGAACCTTCAGAAAACAAAAAAAATGAGTAATTTACAAACTAATCTTGTTATTGACAACGTCAGTCTTGAAAATGTAGACCACTATATATATCTTGGACATACCATTAAAATCGGCAAAGAAAATCAAATAGCCGAAATAAAAAGATGCATACAACTGTCTTGGGGAGCTGTCGGAAAATTAAGCTTTATTTTGAAGAATAAAGATATACCAATGGGTCTAAAACGTAGAGTTTATGACAAATGTATCTTGCCTGTAACTACATATGGACTTAAGACCATGGCCTCCACAAAGAAAACCTTAGAGCAGCTCAGTACAACCCAAAGAGCAATGGAGAGGGCCATGCTAGGGATTAGTTTGAGAGACAGGATTCGAAATAACGTCATTCGTGAAAGAACAAAAATTACTGATGTCTCAGAACGTATTGCAAGGCTCAAGTGGCAATGGGTCGGACACGTTGCCCTGAGATATTCCCGAAAGATGGACACAAAGATTAACAAACTGGAGACCAAGAGAGAACAGACGAGAAGTAGGCAAACCGCAGAAGAGGTGGACGATAGACGATATCAAACAAGTCGCGGGCAAGCAGTGGATGAGAATTGCTAAAAATAGAAATCGATGAAAGCAAATGGAAGAGGCCTATGTCCAGCAGTGGACGAACACAGGCTGAAGAAGAAGAAGACACACGTATATTATCGAATGGAGTGCATGGAAACGTATGTAAAATCATAAAATCACGCGAGTAAAATATTATTGAGAGGATACCTTCAAACACCCACTGCCAAAGATATTCAAGCTCGTCTTGAGCTAGAATATAACATCAAAACAATTCATATTGAAACTAACATATTAGACTTAGTTTTGGCCCAGCTTTCTTCGACTCCATCACTTTCTTTCTGCCTTTTTATATTATTTTTTGAAATAGATATCTTATGGAGTCATCCTATCAGCTTTCGACTTTTATCTTTGTGGTGTATTCTGGTGTTTTGTTATCACATATATGTTTTAATTCGAATTTTGCACAATACCAATTTATGATCGCTACAATTAATATCACCCACATGAAATCCAGAAAGGCAGACAAAAACCCATTGCACACGTTTGTTATGAGGTACGTCAAAGAAGAAGCTATAACTAAAGCGAAACAAATCAAGAACTTGATTGTACATTTACATGAAAATATACATAGAGAAAAAAAGTCACGGGCTCAGCCAAAATGCATTCTTTAAAGAGGCAAGATGACTTAAGTTCAGAGAAGACCAACTAACAAAGTTCTGCAAAATTCCAGCAGAACAAAAGGCTAAATGCACCAATTGCCAGGGGCAACGCCCCATTAATTATGGAGGATGCCAAAACTACCCACATGGGAAGATCTAGAATACAAGCACTTACAGACACCAGGATACAACAATAAATGAGGATAGATTGGCAGTCATACGCCCAAGCCACAAAAGCACCTAAAAATACTATCTTGATCTCAAAAGAGACACAAAACGAATTAACACACAAAGTGGAAGAGCTATCCACCAAAATAGTGCAAGAAGCGATACAAAACATAAAGCTAACATTTAACTGAGGTGTGAGAAAAAGAGATACCTGAAGATAGGGTCCAGGAATTCAGGCGCGATAAGAACCAACGAAAACGTACTAGACGAACTAGTTAATAAATTTGAAATCCTTCCGAAAATAATGCCATTCCAATATCAAATTACATTTTAAATAAAATCGATCCTTTAATATCCAAATATCAATCCAAATTTGTTATCATTACCGATTTAATGAGCGCATTACGTGAAATAAAACAGCTATATACAACTCACGCCATACTTCTTAAGATGAAAGAAAAGTTATCTTATCTACAGACTCGACAAAAAGATATCTCGTTCATCTGCGTATCTTCTCATATGAGAATAAGTAGTAATGAGGAAGTAGACTCTTAGACAAGCAATGCAATAACCGACCAAAGTATTGCTATTATAAATCAAATGCCTTGGACTGATCACAAAGTAAATATCAAAGTCCACATGTACAGAGCGTGGCAATCTACTTGGGATCACACTGCCAACAAACTCAAAGAATGTCTAAGTCAAGTAGGAACCAAACTCATCTTACCAAATAATAGAAAAGACCAAGTCATCATCAACCGATTTCGAATAGGACATACTTTCCTTATCCACAAGTATATCTGCAACCAGGAGGTTGCTCCGATGTGTACCAAGTGCAACACTCAGTTCTCAGTGAAACATATAATTATCGAGTGTCCAGTGTACCAGAAAGAAAGAGTCGCGTGTGCCCTTAGTGACAATTTAAAAATTTTACTAACGTCAAACTTACAGTCTTTATTAAGTTATCTTAAAATTACTAAACTATGTACCAGATTGTAAAAAATATTTTTTTATGTAACAATATGTGTCTTACTGTTTGTGCATGTCCCCCGCTAACAACCCTTAGTAGTTAATGCGGGTATATTTGTTTAGATAATAAAAAAAAGAATACTTAGGAAAAATATAGGAAACACACTGAGAAACCGAAGAAACGAGTGAAAACTAAATTGAAAAAATGAATGGAACAATCTAATCACTAGAATGGTAAACACAAGAATTGTTAAGAGAGTAAGGAACAAATCACCAAAAGGTCGACGAAATATCCGACGAAGAAGAAAGAAATAGATCTGAAAAATAACTAAAATACCCATATATTAATTAGGTAATGTCTATGTATATCACAATCAAAAAGTTGGAATTAAAGTGACAATTTTTGTGTGATAATTTTTATGTTTTATCAAGTTGACTTATAGAATGCATATAGCCAACCCAGATCAACTGGGTTTAGATGATATGATAATGCAGTACTTTATTTAAATTTATTATTTGACAATGGTTTTCCAAATATAACCGCGATCTTCATTTGTCTTATGACGAATTTCGTCGAAATTTTCCGAAAACAGCTGTTTACAGACCTATCTATCCTACTTAATATTTCATGTTGAATAGTGCATATGAATAAAAAATAAAAACCAAAAACACAAAATATAAAAACCCAAAACTATAAACAAGTCGACCATATCCTTATTTAAAAAGTAAAATTCCAACAAAAATTACTGGGAAACGAATGAAATAAAAAAGAACGGTCATCAAACTTGGGCTTAATGTTTTATTTTTCCATAAGTGTTCTAAAAATAAAGTGAAAACTAAAAATCCAATAAAAGTTTTTGGGAAACGAATGAAATAAAAAAAACGGTCATCAAACTTGGACTTGTTAATGGTTTGTTTTTCCAGAAGTATTCTAAAAATAGAAGAAATGTAACTTCCGAAAATAATGAAGGCTTTTAGATGTTATCTCAAAGAAGTAATACTTTGAACAAGAAATATATCGATTTGATGGGTCAAACGGTATTCAGTTCTTATTAGGTTACTTCTTTTGTAGTACTAGCGGATAATAATATTGTAATACTGCTATATTTATATTACACTTTTATGTGCCTGGCTTATAAAATTATATATTTGAAAGCAATATTTAAAAGTTGCGGTATTCAAATTAGAACAATTTTTTCAAAAATAACGAACAAATTTATCTAATACAATTTTTGTATATGTATAATCAGCATACTTACCACACTAACTGGCAACATTGACAGAAGAACCGGCAAGGCGGATATGGCTACTTCATTAAATACACCAACTTTTTGAGTACTGGAATATTTAGCAAATCGTCCGTGGGTCTTTAGTTCCAGTTCAGAATGTACAATGGCTTCCTGAAAAATAAAAATAGTCGTATCAAAATATCAAAATACTAAAACGTATTTCTTCAGTATAGTTGTTATACTAATAGTTTAGTACTTAATTAATAAACGCTCGCGGATCAACATGACATATGGTGAAATATGAGTTACGAATATCCACCTTGTCCAAATCCGAAATATTGCAGCCTAGTTCTTACTGGGCTGTAAGATACGTGGATTCTTTGCGTTGACCGACATCCTATTCAACATCGCTTTTTTTCCAACTCTTGAGAAAATAATAGAAATGTAGACAAACACCATAAGACTCGGCCCAAAGGAGAACTTAAAAATGACGGTTATTGACTGTCTCTGTTTTAAATAGCTTTAAGTGACCCATATCAGTGTACTACAAGTAATATTTCAGCATAATAAGGCAGCTTCTTATTGCTTTTTTTATCTTTTATTTTTACGTATTTCCATGGTTCGTTCTAATTGAACTATTTTCCCATGTTCTTTTTCATCAGTACCATGTTTGTGCTTTATATTTTCTAGCACTGGTGAAATACAATTAACACGTTCACTGCCATGTTGGTCCCATAGGACTAAAACTTATGCTGCCGTACCAGGTCACGTTGGTCTCATGGGGTCAACACATTTTTTATAGCTGATTAGCTAATGAAGCATATTTAGCTGTGTACAATTGTAAAAATTGACCAACATTGACAAGCAGAATTGCTTATAAATAGGGAGAAGAAGAAAAAGACGAAAAGAAACATTACTGACTTTTTAAAAATGTGGTTTTTGCATATTTTGGTGGAAAAGTTGGTGACCAAGACAAAGGTTGTTTTCCTCACAATGTATGTTGTATTACTGGCTATTACTATCCTGGCTACTCTCCAGCATATATATATATTTTTTTCTCCTATATTTTGCCGGATTACTGGGTAGAAATTGACGAAAGCTACATTTTTTCCCGAAAACCTTTAAGCATCTCGTCAATGCAGCAATACATTTCAGCTGTATAAATAGCAAGTCATGAATTTTCCCAAAAACTTGTCGAAAACTTTTCTAATGGGTGCAAGTTTTGTCATATTTTCGTCGTTCTGCTCTGGACTGGATATCGTCAAAGCCTAGTGCATAAAGGAGGATATGCAATCCACAATAGTGCTGGATAATGCATCCTACCACTCAAGAGTAGTAGAGAGATTTCCTTTAAGCAGCTGGACAAAAGCAGAAATAAAGTTGTGGTTGACAGAAAAGAAAATTTATTACAGTGATATATTTTTAAAAGTCGATTTACTTCAAAGATATGGAGAGCACAAAATTCAAAAGGAATTTGTTACTGACCAAATGACTTTTAAATGTGGCTATGAAGTTCTTGGACTTCCGTCCTATCATTGCCACTATAATGCAATTGAGTTAGTTTGGGGTATAGCCAAAACTTTTATGATAAACATGCATCCAATACAACAGATGACGCTAGCCTTCTAAGTTTATGGAAAGAATCACGACAAGAAATAAAGGCAGAACAATGGCCAAATTGCGAGCGAGTTATAGATGAGGTCTGGCCTCTAATTATTCAGATAGACAGTTCAGGTGGTGGCGATAGTAAAATATCAGAAAGTGAATAGGACAAATCGTTTGCTAAAAAGAAGTAACAAACCAGTATTTCAGGAATTCAATTCGGAATTTGCGGTGTATTTTAGTTAAACGATAAAATACCTTTGGTTTAATTACTGGACTGCATAACTCTTAATATCATTGGTATTAATTACTGGACTAAACGTGTTTAAAAACCTTTTTTTTTGCTAAAACTCGAAAGTGATTTAGTGCCAATTTATTTCAAGGTTATATTTAATAGAGTGTCTACAGAAATTAAAGTCTTGGATGTATTTTATTCAAATTTGGATATACCAGCAACTTGGCAAGTATTTTCCAATTTTACTGCATGCAAATCCATTCGTATAATTTTTACTTTACGCAAAATAGAGACTTATAGAGACCTTGATGAACATTTGATGTCGACAGATAATTTCGAGTATACAAAATATTCCGTACCACTTTTTTTAACACGACCCATATTACATATTATATTAATTTTATTTTCCTTTGATACACTAAAGTCCAATACCTATTATTACTGAACATAAAATACATGAAATTCAATATTTTTACTTTTGAAGCGACTGGAATTAAATATTAACGCCCCACTGTTTGAGGCCCACTGATTATATCTTAATTGCATATCGGCCTTAATAGGGTAAAAGGACTTTATAACTTAAGCACTAAATGTATCCAGATGTGTCACCTTAATGCCAAATTCAGGTTGATCGTAATAAACCCACACAGCGTTTTGATAATTGTTTCAAAATTATCAATATTTCTTCAAAAAAACAAATAAACCCTATATATACGAAAAATTAATTTTTTTAATATAATACTAAATGACGAATTTATGCTTTTTGTAATAATATTTCCTCACCTCTCCCAAAACAATAGGCAGGTACTCATTGTAAGTTATATGTTGCAATTCAGCAATAACAATCCTCCTGCTCTCATAAAACAACACCTCATCGTTCCAGTGTTTATTCAGTTGCGCTAGATTTACTGCCACCCTGTTGTGCTCCTTTAGGATGGCGGAGTAAAGAGCATTGGATCTGCATGCCGAACATGCAGATACGTTAACCAAACCAGCGTCGTAGGTGCGGAGGTTTTCCACTTGTTGGTCTGTATTTCCGTAGATCGCCGATGCATCCAGGAAGGAAGTGGCTAGATTCATTTGGTCACGGTAACCTGCAAAAAAAAAAGATTAGGTAATAAATTACAGTTTAGATAATTGTTAGAATGATCTGTGGTCACGAATTATATTATACCAGGAAATCGTAAACCATAGTGTAGTTTTTTCTTATTTCGTAGACAATGTGAGTCACACATTATGATAATTTTATAATGATTTTTTGAATTTCATTTAATTTTTTTAATAAGTTAGAATTGTTTACACAATATATAGCAACCTTTGGAAATTAGATTATATTACTCGTTTGAATTCTAGTGTATGAAAAACACTAAAAAATAGAAAATACTTTTACAAAAAATAGTGTTTTAAGTACTTCTAAGTCAAAATTTCAGTTTAGAAACAATACAACTATGTACTAACAAAATTAAAAATATTAATCTAGATAATTAAGATCTAGATTAATCTCTAACGATGTAAACGTAAATAACAAAATAATAGAACAAGTGATGGAAATGAATACTTGGGAATAAAACTGTTAAGCTACGGAAAAGTGGAAGAAGAAGTACAAAAACGAGTGAACATGACAAAAAGAGCAACATGATGTCTCAACAACACAATCTGGAGAAACAAATACCTCACAACGAAAATCAGGATATATAAATCAACAATAAGACCGATAATGAGGTACACAGCGGAAACAAGAGCAGATACGGCGAAAAGACAAAGACTGTTGGAAACAACAGAAATGAAAGTCTTACGAAAAATAACAAACCAAACTCTAAGAGACAGAGTAAGAAGTGAGAAAATACGAGCGAGATATGGTATAGAGGAAATAAACGCGTGGACCAAAAGAAGAAAAGTGAAATGGAATCAAGAAAAAGAAAGAATGACAGAAAATAGAATAGTATGAATAGCAAGAGACAAATCGCCAAATGGAAGACGATCATTGGGACGACCGAGGAAAATATAATCAGACAACGTCAATTGAGGCTAAACACCGAAGTAAAACAGGCATTAAGCCTATTTATAAAGTAGGAAGAAGAAGAAGAATTTTTATCATCTTGTTTATAGAGCTATAGGCAAGTTGCGCTTTCAAACTAAGTGAAAATTTTTAAATTAATTAATGTACATCGGAATGGTTTGCTTCAGACTCAACGCCATTTTTTACTTCTTCATCTAAAAGTTATTAAATACGCACGCTATTGTAAAAAAACATGCTATTCTACTACAAATGATGCCCTTTAGTAATGAGCATTATTTTTTAATCTGTTTTTTACCATTTTTATTTTGTGTGAGTTGTAATTTATAATAACACTTAAATTAATTTCTATGATCCAAATGATAAAAAATTATATAATGTTCCACTTTTTTATTTGGTTTTATATTCTTGAGTTATAGATGTATAATTATATTATGAGTATACAACAAATTGACGTAATTAATTCTCTAATTCGTAACAACACATTACCTATTTTGTGGTTAATTGACATACCAACAATCAATTAATTAAAATGAGTCATACTGGTTGTAATATCATAACATACTTTTGAATCCCCAGTATTAAAATGAGTGGTAGTTATATAAACCGCATGCCAATGTATTGATACATCTTCAAATCATTACCGCAATTTTTTTGTTTACTATTAATCGCTTTAAAAAAATAAAAATAAAATTTATCAATTAAAATATCGTTAAACCATGATTTGGAAAACAATTTCTTTATGATACTTTTACGCAACATAATCAGATTCCATTTTTAAAAATTTTGGCTTTTAATCTTGTTCTTCTTCTTCTTCTTCTTCTTCTTCTTTTTATATAGACATGACTCTATCTGTTTTTCAATGTCCCTCCAGTAAGTTGTCTTTCCATCGTTTTCGTGGTCTTCCTACTGATCGTCTTCTCATTGGAGAATCGTCTCTTATAGTCTTTACTACTCTATTTGATATCATTCAACTTATATGATCGTGCCATTCTACTCTTCTATTTCTTATCCGGTACTAAATGTACTCCACTTTGCATCTTTAAATCGTTGTATCTTCAAAAATAAAACAAAGGAAGCAGGAGATGGATCAAAGACACCCCTTCTATGACCACCAAATTCAGCCAAGTAGATTAAGATCTCGGAAAAGCTTTCTAAAAAATCACAATCCTTTCCCGAAGAGCCAAAGACGCGCCGAATACACATATGGCAAGCGTCAGCTACAACACATTTTGCTCCTTCAGAGGAAATGGCCGCTGGACACAATTTGCCTTATCCCACATGGACAAGTACTTGCACAATTATTATTTTTGTCATATAAATCTACAATTTCAATTCTTTCTTGCAAAGTGTAAACAAAGAAAAATTGTCTATCTCATCAACTAGTTACTTTAAACTAAATTTATTACACATTTTTAAAATCAGTACAAAAAGTAGAATCCAATTTTAAAATAAAAAATGGTGAAGTAATTTAAAAAATAAAGGGATTATACGTGGGTAAGGCGGTGCCTTTCCCAGCAAGTTTAAATATGACATAATGTCTTCCCTTTCAAATATTAATTGACGTAGTATTATTGCACTTTTTCTTTTACTTCTCAGAATTCCTAGATAAAAAAAAGAATATAATAGAATATAAAATTCTAAATGAAGAAATTGTGATTTATGGCCGCTTCAAAAATGGCACGAATTTTGATTTCGGAAACTGCACATACCTAAACCGTGGAATAAAATAAAAGATGACAACAGTTAAATGAATATATAAACAAAATATTTTCGTTTTATCTAAGAGGACGTCAAAGAAAACATATCAAACGATTCTTCGTTTAAAATTTCCAACTTTAGCCATGACCTGCCGCGGTTTATGATCGTGCGTGGGTTGATTTGCGTTAGTTTTATCATAACATTAATTTTCTGACATCAATTAATGTGCGGAAATGATCACAAAGATGTGGTCATACCTAGTACCACCGTTTGCCACACTACTAAATTATTAATGAACTTTTCTATGATGACGCTCTTTTACTTTTTACCTATTTCAAAGGATTCATTGGTAACCTATTGAATGATTCACGTCAATTCTTGGTGTTAGATTCGATCATCACTTTTGTAGTCGAATAATAGTTGTGAAATATTTTTGTGATTACTCTATTCTAGTATCTATGTACGTCGAATCAGAAAAACTACATTTTAGTTATACAGAAAATTAAAAAAATTTAGTTTATTTAACCCGTAACCGGTGACGTCCGATTTTAGGAACATAACCGGTGACGTGGAGTCTCCGGGACTCATCATAAATATGCTGGTCTCATTCAAATTTAAATAATTATTTTATCACATTGTTTATAATAATCTGTTCTTTAGGCATTTTTGCAATATTTATTGCCTTTTTAGTTCTTTTTGTTACTGACTATTCTTATTATTAACATGTTTGTCAAAAGTTGCAAATAAATAAAGTACGGTGTTACGTCGGAAAACTTAATTTTTTTTTTAATTTAATAATATTATTAATATTGAATAATCTATGGTAATAAAAATTATCATCAGTAGTATAAAAGTAACGGAACGTGCAGGGGGTAAATAAGGACAAAAAAATGGGATTATTTTTTTTTATTCTTTTTGAACGTTACAGTTTCTGCATATTTTATGAGAACAAATCAAGCAAATTGATTTTTTACAACAGAAGCATAAATAAGATGTCTTCCTATAAAGTTTTGATGGGCAAATGTAGCAATACTTTCGAACTGCTACCCGATCTTCTTGAATAGAAGGAGGTTCAACCACGCACAGTATTCGCTTTATGTTATTTTTTTTTTGTCGGGATTCTGCTGTTATACATTCGTTGTTTTATGTGTGCTTCAATTAAGCTTTTAGCCAGTACCTTCAAATTCTCTATAACACTGATACATAACGAAAGCGTTAACTGTACTCATATCTAGTATTTTGTAAAATATAGCCATTGGCCAACAACGTTGCGTTCTTCTGGACGAACTGTAAACCGTACATTTTTCATCCAAAGCATCAACGCCGCCTTTCGTCATATTATACAGACTAATTATTTCTGGTTTTTGTGTTTTTTCATCTATGGCTATACTATGATGCATGGAGGATAATAGTATGACGGCTTTATTTTTTTAGGAACATACAAAAAAAGGGTAATGTCTTTTGTAAAACCGTATCTAACTGAACCAATCTCTCTATGCCTTTGAGGAAGAAACAGGAGGAATATGTCTTTTAACCTTTTTCATAGTTCCCACATATGTCAGGCCATTAGATTTCAACAACTAAACTAGCTCTACAGACGTGAACCAATTGTCAGCTGTCACGTTACGATTACTGCCAAATAATGGCTTAGAAAGCCGTAACACAGATTGAGTAGGTTTAGCGAGCTTTTTCTCAGTTACTGAAAGGCCCATTTAGTTGGAATCTTGGCCTGTATATACATACGCATTGTGCACATAGTTGTTTCTTGCATCTGTTAATATCTTAATTTTAAGTCTATATTTTCGTGGTTTGTTTGGAATATACATTCTAAAGTGTGATCTACCCCGGAAACCAACTAACATTTCATCAATGCATACATATTTACCAACAGAAAACTCCGTTTGACAGTTTTGAATAAAAGATTCAAATAGTTCTTGAATTGGTGCTAGTGGATTTACCGCTTTTTCGTTGTTCTCTCGTAGAAGGGTCATCAAAACGTAAACAAGTCAATAAAACTGCAAATCTCTTGGCACTCATTACGCAACAAAAAATTTTCTGCCCGTTCCTTCTGTAGCAAATAGACATTCTATGTCCTCATTATTGGACTTAAATACTGAGGTGTAAATTAGTAAGCCTAAAAATGCTTCCATTTCGACCTGGTCGACATTTTTTAATTCCGGCCTCTTTTCATTTTTGTATTTGACCCTAACACTCGCCAATTTTACATTTGTTTATTCGACTACAACATTTAACATTTGATTTGTAAATAAACAGTTCCAAATTTCCTTTGGAAGTGCCGAAAGACCAAGAGACCGAGCCTTTCCTTGCAGCCCCGGTAAATGTACAATAATATTATGCTTTTGAGTACGAATATTT